TGTTGTATTCTGAGGTAGAGGCAGGAGGACTGCAAGTTCAAGGCTAGCCTGGACAACTTAGTAAGACCCTGTCTTAAAACAAAAAAAAACATTTTTAAAAAGGACTAAGGCTATAGCTCCAGGGCAGGGCACCTGCCTGATATGTATGACAAGTTCAATCTTCAGCACCAAAAATTAAAACTAAAAATAAATCACATATTGAAATATAAAACTATGAATCCTTTAGAAAAAATACAAGACAATCTTTGAAATTTAGGGTTAGAACAAACAATCCAGTCCCAAAATAGCCAAAAGACATAAAGAGACATTTCACAAAAGAGAATACACAGATGGCAAATAAGCATATAAAAAGATAATAAGCCATTAGGAAAATGCAAATCAAAACTACAATGAGATATCACTACACCTCTATCAGAATGGCTAAAATGAAACATAAGAACACCACCAAATGTGGTGAGGATGCAGAGAAACCAGATCACTCATATGTTACTGGTGTGAATATAAAATAGAACAGAGGCTCTGAGAAACAATCTGGCAGTTTCTTAAAAAAAAAAAAAAACTAAATATATAACTATCATATGACTCAAAATTATACGCAAAGGCATTTATTCCAGAAAAATGAAAATTTATGTTCAGACAGAAATCAGTACACAAATGTTTACAGCAGCTTTATTCATAATAGCCAGAAACCGGAAACAACCAGACATCCTTCAACAGATGGATCATTAAAGTATAATATATCCATACTATGGAATACTAATCAGCAATAAAAAGGAACAAACTATTGACACATACTACAACCTAGATGAATCTCCAGAGAATTGTGCTAAGTGAAAAAAGCCAATCCAATGGTTATATACTGCATGATTACATTTATATAAGACTCCCAAAATGATACCATTATGGAAATGGAAAACAAATTTGTGGTTGCCAGAAGTTCTGGAGAGGGTGGAACAGGAAGGAAGAGGGGTGACCTCAGAAGGGCAACAAGTGTGGCTATGGAAATACCCTTAAATGGAAATGCCAATGGAAATCTTGACTATATCAATGTCAATATCCTGCATGTGATATTATACTACAGTTTTGCAAGATGCTACAACTTCAGAAAACCGAGTAAAGGGTATGGAAAATCTCTATAATTATTTCTTACAACTGCTAATTATCTCAAAAAAAATAAAGAAATGAATATCTAAACCCCACTCCAAAAAAATTTTTTAAAAAACCACCTTGCTGTACCCACAGTCTCCATCTCAAATAATGGAACTTCATCATTCTGTTTATTCAATCCAAAAACCCTGGAGTTGTCATTTTCTTTACACCTCACATCCAATCTGTTACTATACCTTTAAAATTTGAAGACTTTTCACCTGCCCACTGCTACTGTCTACTCCAAGCCTCACCTGGATTATTACAACAGCTTCCTAACTGATCTGGCTCTTTCCACCCTAACCCATGCTGTCCACACTCAACAAGATAGCCTGTAAAAATTTAAATTGGATGAGGTCACTCTTCTACTTAAAAAACCCTCCAGGGGCTCTCCCTTTCTCTCAAAAACCAAAGTCTATATAATAGTGCAAAAGATCTGGCCTGGTTAACTCACTCTCAGTGTCACTTGCTAATCTCCCTACCTGTTCCACCCCCACCACTTATTTAGCAAGTAGTAGGCATTTAATGTTTATTGAATGTGCTCTTCATCCAATTCTCACCACCAACTACACATGGCATCCCAAGTAGCATCTCTACACCTACCCCTGCTCCTGAAAAGCCCAGGAAACACTACCTGCTCTAAAAATACCTTTAATATTACCCTTACTAATGATGTAACTTCAATACCTAGCACCAAGTAGGAGCAGCATGTGTATTGTTCAAGAAATAAAAAAAAAGTAATACACAAATACCACACAGGAAAATAACTAAGAATTCATCTGATACATTTGATCCAAAGTAAATCAACTTCCTTGACCTCTTCTCCTTCAAATCAGAGAAGTTGATCCAGTTAGCTATTAAGAGTTTTCAGAACAGAGACAACTCCTGCTTTATGGATTTAATTGCTTAGCTTCTACAAACATACACGTTACTCTAGATGTCTAAATCTTCCATTTCTACCCTTTCCTAATTGGTATTACCTCTTTAGCTAAAACTTAACATTTTAAAAATAGGACTTTTTAAATTCTTCTTTAATTTTTTCTTTTTAAAAAAAATGACTTAAAATTATATTGGCATTTTTCAAACTTGAGAATGAAGAAGACCCTGAGAACTCACTCACATGCTGGTTTAAGAAAACTTGCATTAAAAATTAAATGTATTGGGGCTGGGGTTGTGGCTCAGCAGTAGAGCACTCACCCTAGCATGTGCAAGGCCATGGGTTCAAACCTCAGCACCACATAAAGATAAATAAACAAAATAAAGGTATTGTTTCCAACTACAATTTTAAAAAATAAATGTTTAAAAAAATAAATAAATGTATTATAGATTAAATTAAGGTGATCATTAGGGAACAAAGATAGCAAATGAAGAAAAGCAGGCACTTTTGAAACAGCTCAGCAAGGCTTGAACATAAGCTGGTCATCCAGTGATACAAAATGAGTATTTTTTTTTTTTAGATTTTATCAAAACAAAAACATAAAACTTATGAATTCCTACACACTTCCAAGAATACACCAAGCACTGAAATTTTAAGAAACCTACTATGAAACAAATTTAAATAAACCTAATATGATAACTTTCTCTAGGCTTATTTGAAATTTGAAACCCAACACATTCTAGATTTAAATTTTCTTATTATAAGAGTGATTACATTGACATTATTCCACATAAGGCATGCTTGCAAAAAAATACTTACATTACCCCAAACTTTATAAATGCTACACTACTGCAATGGAGCTTCTATAAAAAAAACACCTATGTTCATTTTCATTAAAGTTATTTTCAGTAGGAAATAATCTGAATTTATAACATTCAAAATAGGTATAAAGACAATTTTAAAAGATAAAGATTCCCTAAAATCTTCAATATGGTTACAGCAATATTTAAGTACTCTAAGAAATAAAAACAGAGACAAAAGGACACCTTAATACTTCACAGTCCCCCTCATTTGCCCTCTCCCCCAACACAAGATTTTCAACCAAAAAATCTATTTCTGTAACTACTTCCTAGCTATACAGACTTCTTAATCATTCCAGCTGGAAATACAGATATTTAAATGTCATTTTGTTCTAAGATAATCAAATGATCCAAACAATTATGCTACTCGAATACTTTAGGAACAGAAACACCAACATTAACCAGGGAAATCCTCATTACATTTTACTAATGATGAAAGGGCCTTGGGAAAATGGATCACATTGACCACAGTCCTTCCCCTCAGACTTGCAAACAACTCTGGGAAGGTAATGTATTGTACTGCCTTCAGTGTTTTTGAGGAAATATGTACCCAAAGCACTGTAGTAAAATGTATGGCTGGATGTTCACGATTGGCAAAGGAATAAATCTATACAGCATCATGGAGGGGGTGTGGTTGAGGAGGCCCATTTACCTCATGCCAGGGAAGTGAAAGAGAGAGAAAAAAAAGATAGGAGTTCCACAGTTCTCTTTAAGGGCGCCCCCCACTGGCATAACTTCCTCTAACAAGGTGCTCAAGAGGGCCAGGGCAAGCCCCTTGCTGCCTCCCACATGGCGAGGTACCAGGCTTCCAATAAGAGGGTAAAACATTTTTTCACACTATTTTTCATCTGAAAACTCAAAAAAAAAAAAGACATTGGAAGAAAAGGACTGTGTCTTGGACTGAAAGAAAATCGAGACTACTGAACAAGATACTGCTAAATCATTCTAAATTCTTACTAGTGGATTTTTCCCCACTAAGTCTCAATCTTATCTTGATTTACAGTAATGTACCTTGTAAGGGTTAGGGTTAGGGTTAGGGTTAAATTGCCATTGGGTTAAATTTAATTGCCATTAAATTGAGGCAGTGTTGTCCTGAATAACCCAAGATACAGAGAAGGGGACTACAGTTTACAAATAATCTTTTTATCTTTTTTTTTTTTTTTTTTTTTTTGGTACTGGGGATTGAACTCAAGGACTGAGCCACATCTCCAGCCCTATTTTGTATTTTATTTAGAGAAGGGTCTCACTGAGTTGCTTAGTGCCTCGCTTTTGCTAAGGCTGCCTTTGAACTTGTGATCCTCCTGCATCAGCCTCCTGAGCCACTGAGATTACAGGCATGCGCCACGGCGCCGGGTTCCCAAACTACTTCTCCCAGGCTCCTCAAGGGCCCAAGCGCCATACGCTAGCTGTTCACCAATGCACCAGGACCTCAGAAATGCACCAGTACCCGAAAGCAGCACTTGCTCTCGAGCTCGCGCGCTCTCTCGCTCTCTCGCTCGTGCTCTATCTCTCTCTCTCTCTCTCTCAAACATTCACTCAGTTCAGTTCGTCCAGTCACTGGGTCACTGATCCTGCCCACCTCGGTCTTTACTACTGACCTCACTCATGGGGTGGCGGAGGGGGGGGCGGGAAAGGGGAGATTTTCCTTCCAAGACCCTGCTAGGTCCCCGCCCCGCCCTCCTACACACACACTTTGGGACCCTCCATAGACACTACACCCCGCAACCCCGAGCCCCTGTCACCTCCGACCCCCTTTCGAGACCCTAACTCCCCATTCCAAAAAACTGTGGAAACCCGACAGTCGCCACTCCTTGTGACAGTCCATTCTTCAAGACTGTGAACCACACCACCACTCCCCCGCTCCCCGCCCATCTACACTCTTTTCCCAGCTCCCGGGCGTCTGCATCTCTCAGCCGCACTTCTGAGGCCCTGGAAGACTCCACCGTCTTGGACCCCACCATGTGCCCCCTTCTACGCTGGGCAGACTCTGCCCCAACTAGATGCCGTCTGCTCTGGACACTCGGAAGCGCCCTTTCCCCTGGCCCAGTCTGTCTCCAGACCCGCGCCCAGGCCCTCACCTCCTTCCCTCACCCGCCCTGCCGTCGCGCCCCGTTTACCAGTGGACATGGCGGACGCCAGCAGGAGCACGAGGACCAGTATCCACGCCAGCCCTCCGGGGATCTGAATGCCGGGCCCGGAAAGCTGGTTCACTTGCGAGGCCCCCCTCATCCTCCCCAAGGCGGCTGCGGCCATAACGGACTCGGCCGGGAGCCTGCGCTGTTGCTAGGCTTACGTCATGACGTCAGACCTTGCGTAGGGCAGCGCAGCCCTAGGCATCTACGTCCCAGCGCGATGACGTAGCATCTGGAAACAGGAATAAGGAGAAAAGGTGGTGGGAGTTGCCTCTTGAGCTTATCTCTGTGCTCTGCCGCGGGTTAAGGATGGGGTGAGGAAGGTCCTAAAGAGGGCCAGGGCAAGCCCCTCGCTGCCTCCCGCTTGTCGGAGTACCATGCTTCCAATAAGAGGGTTTAAAACATTTTTTTTTCTTCCCTCTCTACCTCCTCTGCTGTTGTTCAATTCTCTCCCCTTTTTTCCCCCCACCCCCTTGCCCCTCATAACCTCTTATAATTTTGTGTATCACTGAAGGTCTCCTACCATTTCCATATGTTTTCCCTTCTCTCTTCCTTTCTCTCCCCCCATTCGTCTTAGTTTACTGTTAGTCTTTTCCTCATGCTCTTCCTTCCTGTTCTATTCTTAGTGGCTCTCTTTATATCAAAGAAGACATTTGACATTTGTTTTTTAGGGCTTGGCTAGCTTCACTTAGCATAATCTGCTCTAATGCCATCCATTTTCCTGCAAATTCTATGATTTTGTCGTTTCTTAGTGCTGCATAATACTCCATTGTGTATAGCTGCCACAATTTTTTTTTTTATCCACTTAAAACATTTTTTGAAGAAAAATGTCGCTGTTTCAAGTAGACTGATCATGAAAGTGAACTCCCCCACCTCCCAAAGGCAATGGAAACGAGAATGGTATAGTGGTCATATGTGGGTGGTAAACATTATTTTATTATTATCGTTCCCACAATCATTTATTATTTCGACAAATATTTAGCACTTCTCCATATTTCAGGGTACAGCAGAAAACAAAATGAACCACAAAGCCTTTGTAAAGTTTATTGGGAGGGAGACGACAGCGGGAAGCGTAAGAAGGTAAAGAAACAGAGAAGGTAGCTAGAAGTAGGGGTGAGGGGTTACCATTGTGAAGAGCTTCCAGATTTCCTAAAATACACTTTTTTACTTTTTTTTTTTTTTTTAAAGAGAGAGTGAGAGAGAGGGGGGGACAGAGAGAAAGAATTTTAACATTTATTTATTTTTTTTTCTTAGTTCTTGGTGGACACAACATCTTTGTTGGTATGTGGTGCTGAGGATCGAACCCGGGCCGCACGCACACCAGGCGAGCGCGCTACCGCTTGAGCCACATCCCCAGCCCCACTTTTTTACTTTTTAAATTTTGTAAGTTAAAATACAAAACCCCCAGTATATGAAAATGCAAATTTAGAAACTTCCAGGAAGTTCACTTGGGCCTTGGCATAATGCGTTGGTCTGTGTGTTCCTTCTGTGAATATTTCCTTAATAAACAGCTATAGGCTTCAGTTTATAAAGGTCCTATTTGATTAATTGTCACGAAAGTTAGCATGGCATAAAGACATTTATTGTGTCCACAGTTTCACCACTGTCTGTGACTCCCTCAGAAGATTGCTGCTGTCCCCAGAGACAGCTGAACTGCCTCTAGAGTAGAGAAGGGCCTGTGTTCTGAATCTGTTTTTCCCATAGCATTTATCTGGCTCCAGAGACAGCTCAGAAACACTTAAGTCTGTGTTAAGAAAACTAAGAAGCCATTCATTATTTTCCAAAGTCCACCACAAGCCCATATAGGCGGAATGGTGCCCTTATTACAAAACTTCCAAGTTAGCCAAAGCACACAGTCCCCCCACCCCCACAGTGCCCAGGAGCTTTCACTCCAGTGAGTACAGAAAACATCCCTCAGGCTAGGGATGAGCTCTACATACTGCATTTACCTAGCGTGTACAAGGCCCTGGGTTCCACCCCCTAGTACTACTGACACAAAAGATAAAAAGGGCCAAGGATGCTGGGTATGGTGACCTACTTCTGTAATCCCAGCGGCTAAGGAGGCTGAGACAGGAATATTGAAGTTCAAAGCCAGCCTCAGCAACTTAGTGAGACACTGTCTCTAAATAAAATGCACAATAGGAATAGGGATGTGGCTCCTAGTTGAGTGTCCCTGAGTTCAGTCCCCAGTACCAATAAAAACCCC